GCATTAGCAATACTAGTCCCCTACCGGCAAGTGTAATCTGGTTCCCGTTAAAAATTGAAAATGCCATAATTCCGTTAAAAATCATTGAAGCGGAACGAAATGCAAACTTGATCTATAAGTAATCAAGTTAAGTCACACACCAAAAATCAGCTCAATATATGCAAGCGTTTAGAAAAAAAATCGCGGAAAACCCTAAAAAAAAATTGAAAAGGTCGTAATTCCGTCAAAAATCAATTAAGCGGAACGAAATGCAAAGTTGATCTGTAACTCATCAAGATACACTCACATACCAAAAATTAGCTCAATATCTGCAAGCGTTTAGGAAAAAAGTGCGGAAAACCAAGTGGGACAGACAGACAGAGGGACAGACGGACAGACAGACAGACGGACGGACAGACTCAGAGGAAACCTATAGTCCCCTCCGGTTTCACCGGTAGGGGACTAATAATGAGCCTTTCAAAGAAAGACTATATTTTTACAAGCCTTGTCTGCTGGAACCGAAACATACTGGTTATTTTAGTCCCCTACTGGTGAAACCGGAGGGGACTATAGGTTTCCTCTGAGTCTGTCCGTCCGTCTGTCTGTCTGTCTAGCTGTCCGTCTGTCCCTCTGTCTGTCTGTCAGTCTGCAATTTTCTTCTAAACGCTTTCACATATTGAGCTGATTTTTGGTATATGACTTTACCTTGATAAGTTATAGATCAAGTTTGCATTTCCTCCCGCTTCATTGATTTTTGAAGGAATTATGGCATTTCAATTCTTAACGGGAACCAGATTACATGTACACTTGCCGATAGGGGACTAGTATTGCTAATGCAATACTCTCAGAATGCTTGTTTGTTTTGTAGACTTTTTATCACCTCCGATTTAATGAAAACGGAAGGATAGATGGTTCGCATATTGCCTTTAAACTTTCTAATACGGTTCTTTCATATATTTTTTTAAACATGTAATCCACTCCGACATATGATCAGTTTTTCCCTTTCATGTTTAGCCAACGTCTGGCATAATCTTTGACAGAATTTATAATAGAAACGAAGTTCTGTCGCCGTATTTAGTCCCTTTTAAGATAATTGCTTTTAGATCTTCATTTTCAACTATATCAAAATCACCAGTAATGACGTGTCCAGCGGGACTGTAGTTGAAAGAAGAAGAGCAAGAACACGAGGTGTTTAAATGTTCAATATCACTGCAAGGCTTGTTCATAATTGAAAAGTTTGGAAGCAACATTAGGGGTATATCTGTAAGAAATGCAGGATGTAGACTTGTACTTGAAATATGGTGGAATGATAGACTGAATTTTTTGTGATTAGGAATGTTACTAATGTTAATAGCATCTATTCCCTTTGCTGGCATATTAAAGTTTAAGGAACCAATTGGTTAAGTCATAGTTATTTTCCAACACGTTGTAGCTTAAAGAAACAGTGCTGGGCAACATGCATCCATAATCACAAACACTAGCTCATATTCTGCAGATGGAGAATCTTAATTTGGACTTGCTTTAGCTTCTTCAAACAGTCCATTCAAAAATTTCAAGGAAACCGAGGTATAATTAGTGCGAATGTAATGAAGACCTAATTGTTTATTGATGTAGTGTGAAAGTAAATCAAAAGAGACATCATGTATACTCTTCCAAAAAAGAAACGCAACGTAAAATCCCGACTTTTATTAAGCACGTTTAAATAAAATATGGAGATAACGAACATTATTCAAGCCCAAAAGTCCATTCAATCAATACAAATCAGAAGCAGAGCAAACACAGACCTCCACACATCAGAGATGGGATCAGGTGCCATGGAAGAGTGAGCATCCCCTGCCGACCGGTCACACCCGCCGTATGCTCCTTGTCATAATTGGGAAAAACAGATAAATCCGTAGACAAATCAGTGTTTGAATAATGGTCTAACAATGGACAAACGCATCGATTACACAATATGATAAAAATCAGCTGTTTATAGATATCTCCGTTACTATTCATTACATCAAAAAGTTTCTTCATTGCTGTCAATTATCAAGAACCAGTGACGGATTTAAGGGGGGCGCCCCCGGCGCCCCCTCCCCCTAAAATTGTAAAAGTTAGCGTAAATCATAGTTTCGTCGAGAAAATGTAGACCCCCTTGCCTACTTTTTGCGCCCCCTTTAACTTTCATTCCTGGATCCGCGCCTGAGAATGGTCAAAATTTTCGGAAAAATCTCGTGAGGGAACTTAATAACTTAAATATACATATATACAAGCTTGGCAGTTTGCGGATGTTTTTGGTGAATATATTTCAGTTTTAAGTGTAAGCACGCGAGATGGGGAGTTTCGGATGATGCAATTCCTATCATATGATAATAATATATTTTAAAGATGAAACAAATTAGGTAAGATACTTTTAATTTATATAATTGATGAAGAATAAAAATTAGACTTTTCATCTTGTTAATTAGTAGTAAGGATAATAGGCTTATCGATAATATTTGAAAAGGATGCTAGGAAAAAAAGATAATACTGCATGGAAGGGATGAGGAAGTAATGGGCGCGTTGAATGGATAATTGGGAAAGTAGTGACTGTGGTGTTTCAGTGTATTTAATGATTGCTTTCTTGAGGTAAATATTATTACAGAAAATCTTTTCCCACTCGAAGTATGCAATACACAGATAATCATCAATATAGATGGTGGTAGAGGGTCATTTCATAGACTGTATCCCTGAATGCCAACAGAAGTAATTTTAATATTAGTTCTCATAAAGCTGAAGTTTATTTAATATTTTAACCTTTCAATTATTTGATTATTTACATTATACATTTCAATTTAAATAACTACAGTTATTGAAAAATGCAGTTCTTATTTAAATGGTGAGTTAAAAAACGTCGAGTGTAAAAGTAAAAACAAGATGTGTTTGTGAAACACTGATGCCCCCGTATGGCAACTCATAACAAAGGTTACACTTTCTCAAAGGCAAATCAAATATGTTGATACCCAAACTAAGGTCTTGTCTCGAGGAATATACCTGTGAAATATGAAAACCCTAGCAGCAACCATTGAATAGATATGGAAAAGGTTAGCGTTTTTAAAAAGTAAGTCAAACTTCAAATGGTCAAAATTAATGGTACACAAAGAAAGGCCTTCTCACAAGAAATACACATGCCAAATATGAAATCCCTAGCACCAACCGTTCAAAAGTTATGGCCAAGGTTAAAATCTTTCAAAAGTATGTCAAATTCTAAGGTCAAGGGGTCAAAGTTGGCATCCAAAGGAAGGTATTGTCACAAAGATACATACATGAAGTATGAAAGCCCTTGCACCAATTATTCAAATGTTATGGCCAAGGTTAAAGTTTTTCAGAAGTAGGTCAAACTCCAAGGTCAAAGGGTCAAAGATGTTGGTATCAGAAGGAAGGTCTTGTCACAAGGATTACATACGTGAAGTATGAAAGCCCTAGCACTAACCGTACAAAAGTTATGGCCAAGGTTAAAGTTTTGCAAAAGTAGGTCAAACTCCAAGGTCAAGGTCAAAGGGTCAAAGTTGTTGGTATCAGAAGGAAGGTCTCTTCACAAGGATTACATATGTGAAGTATGAAAGCCCTAGCACTAACCGTACAAAAGTTTTGCCCAATGTTAAAGGTTTTTCAAAAGTAGGTCAAACTCCAAGGTCAAGGTCAAAGGGTCAAAGTTGTTGGTATCCAAAGGAAGGTCTTGTCACAGGGTATACACATGTGAAGTTTAAAAGCCCTAGCACCAACTATTCAAAAGTTATGGCCAAGGTTAAAGTCTGAAAAAAATCAGCAAAAGTGGGTCAAACTCCAAGGTCAAGGTCAAAAGGTCAAATTTTATGGTTCCCAAAGAGAGGTCTTGTCACAAGAAATACACATGTGAAATACGAAAGCCATAGCTCAAATCAATCAAAAGTTATGAGCAAGGTTAAAGTTTTTGCGGACAAACAGACAGACAGACGGATGGACAGGGCAAAACTAAATGCCCCCGAATCTTCGATTACGGGGGCATAATAACACAATCATTTATTGAACCTTTTACAATACAATGCTATAGGAAGCCTTTCGCCAACAGTTTAAATACAGTACCCCTTACCTTATATTTAATACTGTAAGCATCCAGGGAACAATTATTACTACACTCAGTGTTATATAAGTACTGCTTTATGGTTAATTTCGATACATGAATTTTACTTTATTGAACTATGTGAATAAACTATCGGCCCTTTTACTTAACATTTGAATACAGTACATGTATATTACAATATTTTCTAAATGAAGTTGGCTTAACTATTAAGTAAAAGAACCATTTCCTCCAGTTTTGATCTATACGGAAAAGAGTTAAGTCTTAAACCAACCAGATATCCTTCACATGGTGCCAGTCTCAAAGGATCCTGCTTTAAATAAAATATATATGGATAAAAAGAAAACTGTTGGATGATATACTCTCTCCAATACCCCAGCTCTTTTCCCCATCGGGTCTGAAAGAACCTACATAAACTGTTGGATCCGCCAACGTGATCCGATTTGCTTGCTGAAGACCGAGTAACGATTCGAATATTGATGGCCAAACATGTATGATTTGGACATTCTGTTAATCATCTAATTTGCATTAATAAAAACTGTCATTTTGGTTGATGATTATTGTAAAAGACATTACTCAAGTATCTATATTTATACATTGAGAAGCAACATCGATATACTTTATAATGTTGGGAGTTCTTTGTGGGCATTTAAATGCATACAGTGTAACTTGATGTACAATACCAAAGAATGGGTATCCAATGGTTGACTGGCTTTTGCGTACATTGGTAACTGGCATTCCATAACTCAATAATCATAGACCGTGGATTTTAATGTGAAAATTATTTTGCTTCGTTCGATTGTGTTAGCAATTGCAAACTATTAATTTATTTGCGAATTGCTGCAATAGCTTGAAAAAAATCATTCAGTTTCATCGATTGAAAACAAAACTGTTATTGATCAGAAAAAAGAGGAAATTCATAACACAGGAAAAACCCATTCATATTACGCCATACTCAGATTGCTATAACTAACTGTACATGTAGGAGATGTTAATGATTCAGAGAGGTATATATATATATATATATATGCATGTGTCAATGGACATTAACAGAGAAAATGTATTTTTTATGGACATAATAAAAATCAAGTAAGGCATTAAAAATATCTGAGACATTTTTTCGTTCTTAGTTTCTTAAGTTTATTAGAGGCTGTCGTAAGAAATTTGGACAATCAAATTCTCTTTCCTAAAGCACTTATACATAAATCAAATATCACTAGTATTGTAATATGGGATGTATATCTTTATATCATCATTTTCACTCTCTGTGTGTGTGTTTTATTTTCAAATTTATCAGTATGGACACATTATTGTATTACAGAGAAGAATATTTCCAATAATTCTACCAAAGGCAAGAAAAAACGAAGACACAAAATAAACACAGGAGTACCGTATATATGCTTTGTTGCCATCATGGAAGATAAGTATTCCGACGTGTTACTAGACTGTTTCGTTGAGTTCCGGGACACCATAGACCCAAGGATTATAAGAGGAGAGCTCTTCCAGCGCAGAATAATCTCACCAAAACGGTTGGAAGAGATATGGAGCCCTGTTCGCGCACAAAGCTGTGAAAATATTTTGATTGAACTCATTGAAAACAGCCCATGTAAAATAAAATCATTTTTGGAAATTTTAGTGAAAGATCACAGCTTTCTAGTGGAAAAGTATCATTCCAGATTTGTCGAAAAATATAGTTCTGGGTATGGAGTTCATAGGCAAAGAAAATTAGATATTTTTACAGAATATAGGAAAGTGAAAACTGTCCCTTTGCGACATAAACTAAAGCTTTTGTCACACAAAGGAGAAATAGACAAATTTAATTCAATAATAAGATTTTGGGAAGATAAGTGGGAGTCTGCGCTATCGAATAAGTGTATGAAAAAGGAAAATCCATGTTTAGCAGATATGTATTTCATGACTTTGGATGCCCAGCTTGAACATCGCCGTGTCGTTTGTGATCGCAACCTCATCAAAGATGAAGTTCTTTTCAATAAAGTCAAAAACATCACGGCTATGACTTCTCAACCATATATATCATATATGATGTACTTAGCCAGACACGGGTCTGCAAAACTTTTGGCGGGAGTGTCACTAGATGAAAGTATAAAAGAGGTTGAAGAGGCCCTTAGCCGATTTGAATTAATACCAGCATGTCGAGAAACTGGAATTGTGCTTTACATTTTATTTAATATGGTATCTAGTAGATATGAGAAAGGACCAACAGAATCGGAGAGAACATTTCTACTGAAAACAGCCAGTGAAGCGATTGATCATTTTGGAAGAGAAGATGAAAATATGGCTGAAGACTTTAAAAGAATGGTCCTGACAAAAATTGCTCTTGTAAATCTTGGAATTGGAGTTTTCGGGAATCAGATACCAGGAATTATTGTGACCAATGAAAACAAAGAGAAGGCCAATGAAATTCTTAAAGAAATACAAGAAAATTATTGGGATAAAATGGAAGTTCGGTGGAAAATGTTTTTCTATATTGCAAAAACAAGAGTTTATGAATTAGATGGAAACATATCAAAGGCTTTTAACAGCATATCCAAAGCAATGGAACTTTCAGTTCGTGGTAACTTTAAAGGAGAAGGGCTGAACATTAAGAAACAATACACTCAATTTTTTATTAAAAAAATATTATTCACCTTGAAAGAAAAATTTTATTTCTTGTTTGGTTATGTATTTCTTCTTTTTATCTTCATATTTTTATTTATTGTATTTAATTCAATCATATTTTTCGGCTGTTCATCCGTCTTTGAATAATTAATTTTGTATAAAACCAGTCTGTGAACTGATCAGCTAGTATATTTTATTTACCCTTAGCTATCAGTACATTCATATGCATTACTTTTCTTACATCAAAACAATCCCAAAATGTTTATGCGGTACAGGTACATCATACCTTCTATTTTGATGAACTTTGAAATGATAAAATATGTATAATACCCCATTCGGATAAATATTTATATAATTTATCAAATATGCATTGACTATTCACAAAAATATCAACATTTAAGTAAAAGATTTTTTATTCTAAGAGATAAATTTTACGTAGATATCTGTTTGATCCACTCCTCTAAAGCAAACTTTGTACCGGTGCTGACTCTCTCGTGGTCCGTGTCTGTTCCAGACACCCTGAACAGTGGTGCTAAAGGAATGTCCGTTTCTATTTGTTTGTTATCAAAAACATGTCCTCTGTAATAAGAACAAATTAACAATGGACTCAATAAAGACTTAATTAACATCCACAAAAATAATATCAAACTCTCTTGTAATGCCTATGTACCTTATGAATCCATGATTCCTTTGCTGATTTTCCTGTTTATTTCCTGAATTTAATGCTTTTTCTTCATCAGCATGTGTAATATCAGTTACTAATTCTTTGTCAAACCAGGCACATGCGTCCGTCTCGGACGGATCCAGTCGCAGTTGTTTGTTCACTGTGTGAGAGTCTAAGCCAGGTTTTAATTTTCCATACAAGTAGACAACAATATGATGACGTTTCGGTGGTCCTAGTGTCAACTTTGGTGGATACACTGACTGAGCAAAAAAGTATTATTACTCCTCAGTCTAAAATAGTTTTTTGCTACTTTCAATTTCTAATGAATATTGTGCAAATAAATACGTATTTACCATTTCTTGAATTTCTAAAAGAATGTGACATACCTCCCATAAAGCTAATACTTTTACATCCTCGGATACAAAATTCTGCGGGGATAGATTTATTCCAGTTTCTTCATAACATTCTCGAAACCCTGCCTGGGTAAACTGCAAAATAAGAAAAGTATTTGTATCAATAAGTCATTCAATAAGTAAAAGTGACTGAAATTCACAAGTAACCTAGATAAGAGAGAAAAAATATAAAATTCCATAGATCCAACATTACCGTCTCATTTCCCTCCATATGTCCACCTGCAAAGAACAATAATTAAAAAAGAAATACTTTATTTCATTTTTGTTTTTTAAAATTAAATTGCTAGTAAAGGCAAATATCGAATTAAACAACAAGAACATATATTTTTTTTATTTAACTCCAACCAGTAAATTAAAATTTCAATCACATTTATGTCATCATAATGACAGTGTTATCTTTCTTTACCATCTACATTAATTGTTTAACATTATACCTACACATGCTCAAGAAAGTTATATTATTCGTTTCCCTCTGTATGCACTTTCATCCTTCTTTCCATCACACTTTTCTCTCATCTCGTCCTTCATTTTTAAAGGTTGTCAATTTTTTTTTATATGATTGGTCCTGTCCCAAAAATGTGCAACAAGGTTTTGAAATTTTGACTTTAGCCCCATGAAGTTCTAAATTTTAAGTGATAGCAAATAAATTTTTCTACATTAATTTTAGACATCTTTACTCAACATTTTTACTTTTGTTGAGTCTTATGTATAATTCCAGTGAGGATGCATGCTTTGAGTGATGTATCATTCATCCAGTTACTGTTTCTATTTAAGAACACTTGATACCTAAAATCTGGGGAAAGTGGGATTTTTTTTAATCATAGCCTCTATATATTTTGATTCAAATTAATTATGTTCATGGTAAAATTCGATGAATTTATTTTTATTTTTGGAGGATATTGTTTTTTCACATTTTGGCATTGAATTTCAGTATATATACATAGGTAAAGAATTGGGGAGAATGAAGAGATAAAGATGGTTTGATACGTCGATTGATTAATTATATGTTGTTATACGTCCCATCCGAGAATTTTTCACTCATATAGAAACTTCAGCATACATCGGTGAAGGGCTTCAAATTTAGATCTAAACTCGGCACTCAGGGCCACTGAGCTTTCAAAAAGGATTTTAATGACCTTGCCTTTTCGGTGAGAACCGTGAAAAATTGAAACGTGAGTATTAAAATCAGTCGCTCCTACTTTTCAGTAAATTGATGTTCTTACCAGGAGGTACCCAAACTCCAGGAAAGGTACGGAGAGTTTTTGCTCGTCTGGTAAGCAGAACTTTTTCATCTGCAGATTCTAGAACAAGAGCTACTCCTGAATCTATTCCGCGCTTTACTGTGTCATCTGGCAAATTGTCACTAGTATCTGATGTCAGATTTGTAATAGGACAAAAGGAAGGGCGCTAAAAAAATAAATAGAAAGAACTTTGAAAAAAAGACAAAGGGTGGCTTACATTATAAATGCTTATAAAGTAATCACCCGCATTGATGAAAGCTGATATACAAGGGTTATCCGGTAAAATCGTGGACAATGCGTTTAAATGAAAAATAGTTCGCGCACTGACCTTAACACTTTAAAGTCTTTGAATATCATATTTACGTACAACTTATTTTTCTTTACAAAATATAGACAAGAATAAGGATTTTATTGAACTTGAATGAGCACATGGTACGGTCCTAATGGCGCACGACAAATACTCAGCTTTTCATCGGAGAATACGAGAGTTTGTTTGTTTGTTTTGTTTTTTCTTCTTTTTTTCAAAATGAATAGCATAAAATAAATCAGATTGCAGTGGGAGTTTTTAATTTTAATGTACTATATCGTCATTTTGAAAAGTTCCACGTATTTGCCTAATTTTTGAAGTTTCCAAAACTATTGAAATGAAATAATGGTAAGCACAACCACAGGCACTTGGGGTATGGACCCCCCCCCCTTTCCATTTTTTTTTTCTTTTTAAATCTGGGGTCGAGTCACCTTTTTCCTATTTTTGTATTCTAATATTCACTGTATGTTATCAATAATGTAACTCTTTTGTCTCTATAAGCTGTTTTTAAATATATCGTTTTCGACTGATACATAAAAAGAGAGAAGGCTTGCAACTCTTTTCCCGTCGTCTGCCTCACCTCGCTTAAACTTCGCCTGATTATTTATCGAAAGAATAAGAAAACATGGAATATGCATACATCAATAAATTCGTTATACATTCTTCTTCCTTTTCATATTTCCATTTAATTTTTATGTGCCCCCGATTTGTAAATATTTCGATTAAATCACCCGCATCTAGGGTAAATTTTGTTGATGTGCACCAGCTGGGACGGAAGTGCAATAACGGTAACTCTAACTTTATAAATGTTCTGCATTAAAAAAATTCCAGGCTTTGCATAAACAATATTGTGAAATTTGGTTGTCTAGGTCGTTGTAAAAAGTTAATCTTCATCCATTAGAATTTGCTAGTTACAGTTGTCTTGTTATTCAAAGAACTTACCGTTACGTGTTATATGAAGAGAAAATTCGGGATTTATTCCTTCTCGCATTTAATGTTCCGAATGACATTACACGTAATGATGATACCCGAAAATACCGGGCACTTCCGTCCCAGCTGGTGCACATCAACAAAATTTACCCTAGATGCGGGTGATTTAATCGAAATATTTACAAATCGGGGGCACATAAAAATTAAATGGAAATATGAAAAGGAAGAAGAATGTATAACGAATTTATTGATGTATGCATATTCCATGTTTTCTTATTCTTTCGATAAATAATCAGGCGAAGTTTAAGCGAGGTGAGGCAGACGACGGGAAAAGAGTTGCAAGCCTTCTCTCTTTTTATGTATCAGTCGAAAACGATATATTTAAAAACAGCTTATAGAGACAAAAGAGTTACATTATTGATAACATACAGTGAATATTAGAATACAAAAATAGGAAAAAGGTGACTCGACCCCAGATTTAAAAAGAAAAAAAAAAATGGAAAAGGGGGGGGGGGGTCCATACCCCAAGTGCCTGTGAGCACAACAGACGAAAAATGGCGACATCTGATGACGATTACGTGGAGCAGTTCAACTCTGTTTAGATTTAGGACCAATGTCTCTCCAAACTTTTCAACGATTACAAAAGACGAAAAATATAAGAATATCACTTGATCTTTGATACAAAATTGGCAGGGATTTTTTTAAGCGGACCTTTTGAAGTAGAATTATATGATAGACCAAAACATATATGAATAAACGGCTACTGGCAGTAATGAAAGACGGCATTTATAATTATGCAGACCGTCAAAAAACTATGAGATTGCTTGTTAAGGTGAATATGGTAACATACTAATGCAAGGCCCAGTATGTGTGAGAGATAATCCCTTGCATGGTTAAGTAATTAAAATCCTCTGATTCGGTGCAGGCTGATTCAACTTATTTTTAGCAATTATCAAAACAAATGAACCATGACGTTGCAAAAGACATCCAGGTCCCTCAAGTTCAAGTTCATTTACTCACTCAAAAAACCATGTAAATATATGGTAAAAAAAGAAAAAAGAAAAATTAATTACAGCATATAAATTCAGGTCAGAGGTACAAGTATATGATATACATATTCAGAAAATGAAAGTGAAAGAGGACAAAAAAGAAGAAAAAAATACATATGATATAATAATGGTATAAATGAGGAAAAAATCATGGAGGACAGACTAAATCATATTATATTCTTAATATAAAAGTACAGAGTTTTTTTTCAGTGTCTTAGCATCTTGTTTTGTCATCAATTGAGAAAATTTAAGTGTATTTGGTCTAGTAAAGTAGTATTCATCAATATACTTTTTCCTTATGTTTGACAATGCAGTGCATTCAAGTATAAAATGGAATTCATCAGCAACGTGTTTGGTTTTGCAAAGTGTACATATTCTTTCATTTAATGG